AAGCTGGCTCATTGGCTGGAGCGGATGGGATATATCTACATTGCTCCGAGCATTTATTATAGGTGCTGGCAACTGACTGGGTGTGTTGGGATGGAATGATGCCCCCCTCCCCCAACACATCTAGTTTAATGCCTTCTTGACCTGTCTGGCAAGCCTCCTACCAAAACACACCTCCACCAGCCCCCAGTAGACCTGGCCTACAAACTTGGGTCCTGTGTTCAAGACACCCAAACCCCTGACTATGGCACCACCCTTTTAACTATTTATTAACCTGGCCAATCCTCCTAGCTTTTTTTAGGTCCTCCCCTGTATCCTGGAGAATTGACGAAAAGACTATCTGAGCTCCAGATAGTGTGCATGATTCTGGGAGCTCAGGCCTCAGAGAATTGTGGCCATGCCAGTGGGGTGCTGTGTCCAAAAAAATGACCTGGGTTACACATGATGATTGCACTATGTTGATGAGATGGCTCTGCCCCCATCCTGGGGGTAGCTTGCTTGGCATTTAGCTCTGTTACGTGCATTGTGTTCTCTCCTGCCATGTAGGATACCTGCAGTCCTGCGATGGGTCTCAGAAACCACAGGAATGGAAACACTGTGTGAGCTAAGTAATTCTACCTTCATTCCAGATATTCAAGGAGAATTGTAATTAGTTAGGTTTGGTTGTGCAAAACAGACTCCATCTCCAGAAGCCACACTGCAGGTACGTGTTTCCAGCACCATTTAAGCCCTGATTTTGTGTTTATCATTCTGGAATTAATATTAAAATTCCTGAATAAAGTGTTGGCAAATGCAACAGGACTGCTATTATATTAGTTTGTTTGTATTTTTATCTTGGAGGGAAGCAGTATTAAACCTAGGAAAATGCTAATGCTCTTGAGGAACTGACTCATGAGCTATTTTAGATTGTATTATGAAAAATGTATCAGTCACAATATTAAACAGTCCTCAGTTAATCTCTCAGACCTGGGATATTCTGTGAGTCTTCTCCAGCATGCACTGGATTCAGTTAGATGCAAAGGGATCTTTCTCTTCACATGTATGAAAAATGTCTCTTTGTACAGTCATGACCCTATGAGTCACTGTCATTTTACAAAACAGAGAGAAATTCAGTTTCCTTGGATAAAGGTGGAAAGTAATCCCGGTAATTCTATCCCTTGACACAGACATTTGTCTTGATTCTCTCTAGAGTTTTCTGCGTCTATTACTGCTTCAAAAGTGGATGGGGGAATAATTCCTTTGAGAATAACCTCTTAGAGCAGCAGCTTTGGAGGCTAGTTGGTTACCCTGGTGATGACCAACTTGGCAGCATAAGTAGCCAAATTTAACTGACTACCTGGGTAGTAGTTTGTTTATTTCTAAACAAGGCTAACTGCCTAGTATCAAAGCATTCTTATTCACACATTGCATGTTTCACACTGGACTTCCTTCACTACACACTGCATAACTCATTACTTCCAAAACAAAGCTATTGTAGAGTAACATGGAAATTGAAAGCTGTACAAAGAAACGGTAAATAGTTCTGAGAGTCTTGTGACAGACTGTTTCTTTTCTTGGTTCCTTTGAAAGTGTAGTATGAGGCCATAAGAAATTTATCTAATTTCCTAAGATTTGATTGGTCTTGATTTCCAAGGCTCAGATGCTTAACTTTTCAATGGGAAGGCTGTTTTTAACCTGTTTGCTCCTCAGTTTCCTCCTTTGCAAAGTGAAGGTCATTAAGGACTCTCCACTTTGCAAGAATTCAATTTTGAAAAGCTAAATGGCCTAAAAGCTGTAAAATATGCTGAGGTCATGCTGTAAAAGATGCTATGCTGTGGAAGCTGCTATGTGCTTCCACTGCAAAAAAAACAGTACAATGCTCACAAATGCAGGGAGAGGGAATGGGAACAGAATCAGCAGTTTGGGTGACAGTTTGTCTGCAAACAGAATGTGAGGGAGAAGGACATCTTCGGGGAGTAATTTAATTCTCTGCCTGAAGATTTATACCTGCTGGTGATGCCAACTGAATGTTTGTTTCATACAACAATATGAGTTGTTCATCCTGAAGGTCTATACAATGATTTTTAAATGTTTTTCACATCATCATTTGCAATAGAGATGGTTTCTCATTAATGTACACGCTGCTGTAGCAGGATGGGGATGAACATTTGGAATACGCCAGTTTAGGGCAATAGTATCATTGCTGTGACAAGCACATTACTGTGGCGTCATTCATAATGCTTGTCACGATAATGTGCTTTATTTATGTGTGAACCATAGTATCTGGAACTGGCTGTCATGCCAGGGCAGCTGTGGAAGACAACAACCCCAACCAAGAGAAAGTCCTGACAAGGTTGCTTGTTGGTGTCTGGGGAGGACTACATTCCTGCTGTCAGAAATGGCGACTACCTGCTGTAAAATCGCACCTGAAACAACATGGTGGTCCCTGTTGTGGGAGGGTCTTCCTGCTCTGAGGTCCCTGTAGGGCTGGCGTGAAGGGATGGATGGCTGGTGTGAAGAAACGGCCATGAGCCAATCACAGAGCACATGAAAATGAGTGGGTCACATTTTACAAAATGGCACTCGGTGCCATTACAAAATAGCAAAGACTTACGTCCTTTGGTCAGCAGGATGAGGCACGACACTGTCTGTGGGCTCCATGCTGACCTCACCACCAGGTCAGCTGTTGTCAAGGGCACAGGAGGGGTGTTCTGTGCTCTGTCACTGGGAATTTTCACATGAGGCCATCAAAGGAAAATATCTCATTGGCTTGTCTGTTTTCTCTTAGAAAGAGAAATTCCCTATAGATTCACATAAAGGTGCATGTGGCTGCTATTCTGAATTTATTGATTGGAATACTATAATATATTACATCAAATCCAGGACAGACTTTTTATTCTGAAAGATTTTTTTCCCCAGTATTTCATTATACAGGTATTTTAAACCCCCTCTAATTCTGAGAAATTTATAAATCAAAGTCAATGACAATGATACTGGTAGTTTAGTAATATCATAGTAACTTCTCAAGCCATGGAAGAACCTTTGTTTTGCCAAAGTGTAAAAATGTATTTTTTATGATTCAGATGTCTTTGCCATGAGAACTGGCATAGCTCTCTTTCAACTCCCATGTAATGGAATCTTTGCTGCCCTTCTGTGATTCTTATTGTTATTTGAATCCATGAGATAGCTAATCAGACAATATGATGCGACTAATGTACAGAATGAGAATGTTGTCTAGATGAGGCTCAAAGCCTTAAACTCACTGACAATTCGATGTCTGTGCCACTGTTTCCTTCTGATGTGATTTTTTGAGGTGGACCACTCCCAGTAATGTCCATGCATATGAAGGAAGTTCATAAAAGTCATGTTTTGCAAAGCCAAGTGTGACATCCTCACAGTACTCTGAAAGCACTAAGGAAAGATATCATAGGAAGAGTAATATAAAAAGATCTGTCATGATAAATATTAGTCATGTTGCCACACATATCACTTTAAGGTGTTGAAGTAATACATGACCAGATGTAGCGCAGAGCTCAGGGGTGAGCCTGGACTGAGCTAAATGGACAACTACCTTGCCCCAGCCTGAGAATACAACTGCAAAGGAGAGTTCCGAATTCAATTTTAAACAAAATCCTCCCTCAGAGTTGAAACCTGATTCGAATCCCATACAGTTCAAGTTTAAGATACTGCTCATGAGTGATACTGACTTGTGATGAATAAGGTACCAAACCCACTAAAAATCACAGTTAGATTCAACTTCATCACTTTTCAGAAATCATGAAATCATGTCAGTTCATCACATGGTGAATACCAGGTCATTCTGTTTTAATTCCAGCCTGGTCTGTGAAACTGATGTCCTCTATTTCTGTGGTACCAAGCTGGGGTTTCACAGTCCTTGTATGACTTATGAAGCTATTTCCCCCTTATTCCTGACTAGTATTTTCATATTTAACTATCCTTATACTAAATGCCTCAATGGACATGCAGGGCTTGTCTCTTGAGGCATTTAGTTTAGATACAAAGAAGTTCTTCCTGGTAGGGTGGTGAGGCACTGGCACACGTTGCACAGAGAAGCTGTGGCTGCCCCTGGATGGGGCTTTGAACAACCTGCTCTAGTGGAAGGTGTCCCTGCCCATGGCAGGGGGCTGGAACTGGATGAGCTTTAAGGTCCCTTCCAACCAAAACTATTCTGTGCTTCTGTAAAATATTTGATTCAAGTGATAAAGCCTGGTTTTAGTGCAAACAGTTTCAGTGAGGCACATCTTTTATGGCGCAGAGTACTACAGATGCTTATTTTTGTGGGTTGCGTCATAGACCCTGAATACATTGCATTATGTGTCTGTTAAAAGTGCCAGTAAACCAGCCCAGAATGGATGGAGCAGTCATCAGAATTGAGACGGCAGTTTCATTTAGATATGTACAAGTTTCTCTTGTTCTAAAGTAGACTTTATTTTTAGGCAGCAGAGTGACACTGCAGTGGGTGCCTGTGGTAGGCCACCTCAGCAGGAATAACGAGTGCATGGGGCCTTCTACAGGCAGCTGGAAGCCACCTCATGTTCACCAGCCTGTGTCTTCCTATGGAACTTCAACCACCTCTGTGTCTACTGGAGAAACAACACAGCAGGGCTGTTTCTGGAGAACCAGACCAGAGGTGCTACCTGGTCTGTGATCCCAACCCCTTACAAGGGACAGTGCCAGTTTCTCCACAGTGATCGAAAGAGCCCGGACTGTAGCAGTTCCCTCCTCAGCTGCAGTTACACAGCCACAGTTACGCTGTTTTCAGCTGTAAATCACATCATTTTTTCCTCATCATCCTTGACACTTTAGCTCCGACGGGGAGGCTTTGCCTCAATCCCGTGCCCTAGCCCCGTGAGTCCCACTCGACACGGCTCGTCTCCGACCCACGGATGCTGTGAAAGGGAGCGTCCGCTTCCTGACAAAGCCCCGGCAGCCGCAAACCCGCAGGGAGGGCCGGGCGGGTGGCTCCGCGGGGCAGGAGAGCGCCTGGTGTGGGACCGAGCCGTCCCGTGCCCGAGGTCCGTCCTAGCGGCGGGGGGCAGGGTGGTGGGACCGTGCGAGTGCGGGACCGGCCAGCTCAGCGCTGAGCGCTCTCCTCCTGCGTGAGCGCCTAAAATGTTCCTGGCATGCGAGGCCAGGGGAGATGCAGTGAGAAGCGGGGCACTTTTCCAACAGCTCCTCCGCCGAGAGAACCAGTGGCACGGCACGGCTCCGCAGCCCGCTGCTCTCCTCGGCTTCCTCAGGCAACCTGACCGCCATGCAGCGAGTCAGGGTAAGGGGCTGCGGGCTGGGGCCGGGCAGGGCGGCCCGGGAAAGCGCCCTGACAGCGGGCCGGGGACTGCGGGGTACTTGGGGGGGCGCCCGGTCCCTTCCCCGCTGACGCCGGCGTCGTTGCAGGTGCTGGCGGCGCTGCTGTGCGCAGCTCTGCTCCCGCTCCGCCCGGAGGCCGTCAAGGCGCACAAGCGGCCGACGCGGACCCGGACCTGCGGCGAGCGGCCCGAAGAGCTGCTGGAGCAGCTGTATGGGCGGCTGGCGGCCGGCATGCTCAGCGCCTTCCACCACACCCTGCAGCCCGAGCCCGCGGGCCGCCCGCACAACGCCAGCTGTCCCGCCGGGAGCCGGCACGCTGGCGACAAGAGGTTCCGGCTCCCCGTCAACCTGCGAAGCGCCTCGCCCTGGGCTTACAGGTGACTGCGAGACACCGGGGGAAGGAAGGAGGGAGGAGGTCCAGCCACGTCAGGGGGCGAAGCGGTGTCGGGTCCCCGCGGGCTGAGGAGAGCCGGGTGTGCTGTGCGGGGCGCCCCGTGCCGCCCTTCCCCGCGCGGTGCCCGGGAGGCGCCGGTCCTGGGGGAGACTGCCGCAGCGGGCAGCAGCCGGGGGGAAGCGCGTTACAGCGGGCGTCCTGACAGGCAGAGCTAACGTAAATGTGTAAAAACTTGTGTGGGGAATGCAGTTAAAGGGCAGAAAGAGAAGCGACCGAGGTGGAGCAAGGTGTGAGATGGGGCGCGCACGCACCCGGGAGAGCACACCGCCCCTCAGAAAGTCACTTATGGCAAACTGTCATATGTGAAGTGCACTCACAAGACCCTCAGCAAAGGACCATCACCAAGAAAGCGCTCCTGGCTCCATAGCACCCCAGAGGACTCGGTTGCTTTTCACGAGATGTGATTCCAGACACGGTGCTGGTTTCTAAAGTATATCCGAGTACAGTGTGTGTGTCGTTACATACCAGCAGAACCGTGTCTTCACTTACCCGCCACAGACACACCTAAGGGCTTGCTGTTCGCTTTGCTGTGGGATAGGCAGGAATAAGCACTGCAATTCTCTACATCAGCTCTTTCAGCCTACACTTTGGAAACCTGCCTCCCCTCCCCAGGGGCTGACAGGCTGTTTTTAAGGGGGCATAAAAACAACTAAATAAGGCAGATCTGTTACTAGGCTGGTTAATACACAACAGAGCACATTATCTGTTATTAGGCTGGTTAATACACAACACAAGGGTCTGCACTTACATAGGGAGCTCTGGAAAAGCTTGGAAATCATTGGTTTAGCACACTAAATGCAGGGTGTGATCACATTCTCACTATCAAGTCTGCTGGTAGTTCTGTCTGAACACCGGCAGAATTGGGTTTTCTGTTTTCAGCTTTCTATAAAGACTCTGCAGACAACAGGAAGCTAAAAAAATGTACAAACTTAAAAGGAACTGACTTCCTTGCTGCTTTATGTGTATTATCTTTTGTATATACCTTGATGCAGTTACTGTGTATTCATCAAACTTAAATATCTCCTTGTTAGTGATCTCCAGTAAACATTTATTTTGTGGCATGGGTTTTGCCCACTTTTAGCTTAAGAAGTAATCTTACTGAGAGAAAAATCGTTTATTTGCTCAATAAGCCTTTCATAAACTAAGTATTTTTAGAAATAGTATTTTTAGTAATACCTTTTTTGTAAGCAGACTGAGGGTTTCTAAGCTACCTAAGTGTACAACAAGCAAGTATGATGAATGGAACACCTACTGTTAGGCTCCGTTATTTGCTATGTTGGTCTTGCCAAATACTAGTGCTATCAGACAATTGTTCTCTTGGTCTATACCAGTGCCTGCCGTGCTCACATCTTGTTGGGCAGGTACTTATTTTCAGTGGGAGCTCCGCAGAGGCTTGCTTCTTAACTGAGAACCAGGTGCTATTTGGAGCCTGGCTCACAGAAAGTTCATTAAAAAACTTTGAATCACTGTTCTTTTCATCAGAATGTTTTCAAACAGAGCACAAACCATTCACATACACGTGTCTTGGTGACATCTCCAAGCAGAAATTTTAAAAGGTAGTGCAAAAAGTTACTACATCGTTAAAGGCAAAATCTAAAATTACATTTAGGGGAAAAATTATTTCTGTAGGATGAAGAGGCCTGAGTAAACTGTCTAGTGAACAGATCTCATTTACAGCTTTTTTCTTGATTGCTTTTTTACTGTATCAGTAGTGTGCAATGGGACAGCAACAGACAGGCAAGATGCATAATAACAGTGTAAAACTTTCATAAAATTGCTCATTATGAAGGGTAATGTGCATTTGCTATTACAACTTGCTGTTTCATAGATTTTGAAGCCAGGTAAAAGCAACATGAACATCTCATCTGACCTGTGGTGTTCCACCCCTTTACCCCGGAAGCAAGCTCCCAAACCCAGTGAGAGCTACTGCCTGTCTATAAAAAGGATACACAGCTCTCCATTAAAGATTGCAAGTAGTGGCACGTTACGTCCTACCAGTGGTTAACTATCGGGTTAACATCCTCAAATCATGAGTTTGACTCTGTGAAACCTGTGCCAAGATCTTGCCTGCCCCGTTTCAGCATCTCACAGACGTCCTGCTCTCCAACTTGTTTTCTGCCCCTAAAGAGTTACAGTGCAATTGATTTCTGCTGTGTGCATAAAGGGTCTTTTTTGTTCTTGACTTGAATTTTAATGTCTGTGATACCTCATGCTGTTTCTTTGTCTTCATTGGTGTTGCAGCAGTTCCCATTGTTACCATCTGCAGATTTCATTAACATACTATTTATACTCCCTATTCCAAGTCATTAATAATAAAGATATTAAGTCTGGCTCTACTTACCTTACCCTGTATATCTCCCTAGGCACCTGCTCCCAGCTGCTTAACACTGCTCCTTGTAATTCTGCTTATATGACCGTTCAGATCAAGTTAACTGAAATTTTTTCATATCAGCATTTGTGAGAAAGAATCAAATACATTACTTAGAGATCTGTGTATAACATTCACACGTCACGTATATCCAAGTTTGTTGTTCTGTTTATTCATGGAAGAATGGATTGATTCAGACCTTGTGTGGCTACTTTCCTTGTCTTTGTTCTGTGCTTACTATTCATTTTCTATTACTTGGTCTTTAATTTGGTTATACAAAAATCAAGACTTACATCATTTTTGGCTTGCTACAACCCGGAGATACAGTAGTTGCACATGTATTGCACCACAGATCCATCTGGTCCACGATCCTGCTGTTGGCAGCAACCGACAGGTGGTATTTGAGGCAAAAGTTAAGGGAAAAATATTAGTTCATCTGTCTGATCCTGAAATTCCATCCTGATGGCCACAGGAGATCAGTATATAACTCAGGGCACAAAGTTCAATCGTATGAATCGCTCTTTACTCTGCAGAGCTATAAAGAGACAGCAGAGTTCCCTGAAGTCAGTTGAGCGGAGTGGAATCTCCAGCATACTGGATTTGCTCAGCACTGCAGGAAGTTGGTCCAAGAATTACCCAGTTTTTTTTAAAAACAGGGCCAGCAGCAGAAGCTCTGCTGTGAAATCATCGGGCTGACTGTGTGCCAGGGTCTGACATCCATCCAGGAGCTGCTTGTCCTTTCTAGCATTATTACGTGAACAGCCAAACCCAGAAGGCATGGAGGCTGTGTACATGGAGGTACTGGCAAGGGCTGTGGTCCTTGGATGCCTCTGTGGTTCACAGTTTCTTCACAGGAGTTAGTGATACGGCTTGTCCTGTCACCTAAAGATCCCTGCCAACAGCACAGGGTGGGTGCTGTATGGTAAAAATTAGAGAAGCCATAATAATGGTGAAAGTTTAACAGCTCCAGAGGTGCACACACAAGCTGCTCGTGGACAGAAGCCATGATAAAAAGGATTAATTTTAAATGCGTGCCTAAGTGTTTGCAGGGTCTGATCATAAAACTCTTGAGTAATGCTTGAAAAATCTGATCCCACCAAACTCAACAGCACATTTACAGGTTGTGTGATTTGGTGTTAAAGGCCAGGTCGGACGGGGCTTTGAGCAACCCTGCTTCGTGGGAGGTGCCCCTGCCCATGGCAGGGGGGTTGGACCTGGATGAGCTTTAAAGGTCCATTCCAACCCAAACCATTCTGTGATTCTGTAATTCTGTGATTGGTGATTCTACTTGTGGTGCTCCAGAACATAGGTACCATTCATTAATCAGCTGTATACACTAGCTTTATTTTTATTCTCTGTTGTTTTAAGGTTATAATAACATTTGTAGCTAGTTTGTAGGAATATTCAGACTTCTGCAAACACACTTTGCACAAATTTAGCAAAAAGTCTTCATGTGTATTCAAGAAGTCATTCTGGTTTTGAATTTTCAAATCTCATGGCTTCTGTGTTTGTCTCTGGGGCCTAATCCTGCATTTACTAAGGCTTAATTTAAAGAGATCGTGTCAGTGTTGATCTGATAGTGAAATCCCATGTTAGCCAGTCCTTCTCTCAAACACTGCCCAGCTTGTTTTTTCTACTTTTCAAAACCCAGTTTCTTTGGTTTAGTGCTCATCTACATAAAATCTTAGTAATACAGGCAAGTCTTTTATTACTGATAAAAGCCAAGCTTGTCTGCAGTGCTTTTGAAAAAAGTTACTCAAGAGGGGGGCTTTCCTTTAAAGGATACTCCAGTGATTTTCAGGAACCTTACCCAACATATTTTCCAGGACTTAACATTATCATGTGGCACAGTATGCATATCCCAAATATGCAGCCAAGGGAAAGAACAAGGGGATACAGAGCTGCCATCATTTGAGTACTTTTCATTTGAGTACCTATTAATACAGCTCTTCAGAAAATGACTGTTAGCACTAGGTTATTTTATGCAAGCATTGTACTTACTACCTGTATATTAAACAAAGTAAGCAGAATATGAACAAAAGAACACCTGCTATGGAGAAATAAATGTCTTGCCAAGAGGGAAAAGAAAGTTGTTAGCTCTTAATCCTGTAAGTATTTCAGTGTTAAGTAAAGGGCTGATGATCAACTTGTCAGACTTCTGATAACATCCAGCTGTTAGCCTAGCACTCACAATCATTTTCTGAAGGGTTGGCTGTATCTGCCTGCCCTAGCTCAGCATCTGACCCACAGGATTTAGAAGCTTGGAAACTATGGAGTGATAATAAAAAAACTACATATGAAGGTAGCGGTACAGGGCAAGACAGATTAAGTCTTTCCAAGAGTTTTACTTCTGACAGAAACTTTTCTCTTGACTTTCCAGGCTTGGTAAGTAAAAGGCAGGAAGTTTGTTTTTAACTGAGAGCTCTCAAAGCACTCGTAGGGCCATAAGAAAAAGCAGCCTAGAAGCAGTCACACTTCATAAGCAGTTCCAGTTCAGTACAAAGCCGTTGCTTGTTCCAGCAGCCTGGCACAGCTCACTTCTATCATTTGTAAATCAGTGCCTTGCCAGTGCAAGGCAGAGTTAGCCCTCTATACTAGTGACCTCAGTTCTCAGGACAAGGGTAACCCTCATCAAAGTGGCTGAGCTGTCTAGTTTGCAGCAGTGGCCACAGCAAATGACACCACATGCAGGGGACACTTAGGTTCCAGTGGAAAGTTGCTCTTCTCTGGTCTTTCACCACTCTTCCCAGCTACTTCTGTGAAACTATCTTTCACTACACATAGGAGAGCGTCAGTGAAAACTTGGAGCATGCATTTTACCCAGTTCATTAACCTGATTAAACATGTTTGCCCTGTTCTAGGAGAAGATGTAAGAACATGACATGTAGTGCTTTGGCATAATGGAGATGCACCAACCTACAGAAGCTGAGGCTGTGGTCATTATAAGCACAGAGTGATTATGTGCAATACATGCAAATAGAGGAAACGTGTATTTACATGGCTGATATTTGTTAGTGGTTCAGATCCAAATCAGTCTGGGTTGCCCAGAAAGTTAAACATGAGACTTCAGTTATATGGCCTTTCGTAACAGGTGTAAACTGAAGAACCTTGGATACAGCTCCAAATTCCAGTGACTTTTGAGTTAAGCATTTAATTTCAGGAGGCATTACTTAAAGCCTTTAGCCTTAAATTCTGGTATGAATGCAAACCCATGCCTGTATTTTTGTCCCATCTTTGGGTTTGGATTCCTTCCAGTCCTCACATGATAGAGTAGAGGTATCTGCATCAAACTTAGTAATATAAGGTGTTTTTCTATGGAAAGTAGAAAACCACACCACACCATCCTTCCAAAACCCCCTCATTTATACCTGACTTTTGCCATGTGAGAATTTGGAGGGGGAAGTTTGTTGTGGACCATGATTCCAGTGACAGTGTGCTCTTGTTTTTAGTGAAATCTCTTATGTTTGCATTCAGAAGTGTGTTCATGCTTTCCAGTAACATCATAAACCAGGTGCTAGAGATAATACAGTAGAGGAAATACCAGTGACTTGACATATGGTGTGTTTAACAATCCACCACTGAAATTCTTCACACTTGACTTTGAAATGGGAATGTATCACGGTAGAAAAGCCTGTATTTCACATTCTTCCCTTCTGCTGGCTACCAGACGTTTTATTTCACATTGGTGTGAGATCCTGTAACATGAAGGTATTTCCTGGAGAAAGTAAGTGAGTATAAATGGGACAGAGAAGCTTTGCAAAAAAATACCTGCGACATCGCAGATGTCTGGCTGTAAGAGAACTGGTCGGATTTTTATGAGAGGAAAGCAGATTTCTGAGAAAGACAATACAGATTGAATGGTCACTGGGAGAAGAAAAAGTCTCTTTTCTTTGATGACAGGATGATCAAGTTTGTGTTTGACCAAAGCTGTGATTTCCAGGTTTGTTTTAACCTGATGAACTTGTGATACTTCTGAAAAGGGCAGCTCCTTTCTTCCCCGATCTACAGGTGCTTGTTCACACTGCTTGTTTGTCTGAGGCTCTGTGTATACGTGGCAAGACAGCTGAAGGACCAAAATGCAGCTTTTGATGAAGTTACCGTTCAGCTGAATGAATTCCCTGGTCAATCATGTGAGCAGAACATCAGTATCAACCCAGGCAGGAGGGAGAGTCAGGCTGCCTCATTTGGCAAGCGCACATGTTGTTGACTCTTAAGTGACTGCAATCACAGCTCGAGGCAGACTATTGCAGTCTCTCCCTCAGCTGAAACCTCTTCTCATCTCCGGGACCACCTGAAGAGATAAAAGGCTATCTACTACTTTGGTACCTAAGGGAGAGGTACAAGCCCTGGGAAACACAATGTAGGGATCACTTTTAATCTATTGTGGTTTTCAAATGCAGTTATTTTGAAACTTCTGTGGGAAGAGGGGGTTGTGTACCCTGTAGTTTGTATCATCCCGTAAATAATTATACTGATGACAGGTATTCAATTTATTCTTTTTTCTTCTGTAGTTGCCCCACTTGATCGGTGGTCCTATCCTGATCCCCAGTAGAGGATGGCTTAAAACCCAGTGCAAGAGTTTTTACTGTTTTCGCAGCACTTCACATCACAGTAAATATTACAGGCTTGAACATTCTCTGGCATTGCATATCTGTTACTTGGGTTTTTAGCCTCAGCTGCTGTAATTTCCCATCTCAACATGGGAAATGATTTAGTGTGCAAGAAAAAGGATGTTCCACTTCACTGTTAGGAAAGCTTACCAAAGTAAAGAGGGGGAGAAGTGCTGCAACAGAGCCTTTGGTAGGCTGGCCATCTCCTCTGGAGGTTCTCAAGAACAGGCTGGGCAGACATGGGCAAGGACATCTGAGCTTTTGGAGGCATTTGGACTGGGTGACCTCACAAGGTACCTTCATGCTCTCTGCCTGCCAGTAACAGCCTGTAAGATACTTCTGCTGTGCACCATGTGTAGTTCTGACCATCTGCTGTGTGGAAGTAGGAGCGGGGGGAAAGGGCAGAAAAGGCTTTTATGTTACCTGACAGGTGGGTAAGTGCTTCTGATAACATATAGGGGGATGTCAGAATCCTCCCAGGGAGGGGAAGCACCAAGAGGCAGGCGGAGGTGCTTCTGGGCTGAATGCTTCTCCAGCCAGAGAGCTGTCATCCTGCTCTGGATGGACAGTGAAGCAGGGCTAGGTTTGTAACAAGTCTGAGAGCAGAAGGTCATCTGGATGAAGCTTAGAGGTACAAAGAGGACAGCTGGCATAGACTTGAAATCCTCTTTTTCTGGAGGTGCAAACATCATTTCTAGAAAATTGACACACAGCTGTAATAACGTACAAGTTACAGCCATGCCCAGCAATTGCTTCCAGTATATAAGCAGGGAAAGAACAAACCAACAGATACATCCCCACCACAATAAGCAGTGTGGCTCTGTACTGCAGTACCTACACTCCTTGTGTACTTACTCTTTTATTGCCAAAAAGAAAAAAAAAGAAAAAGCAAAATTTATCAGCTTTTACTCTCTTTGCTAAAAACAATGGCTGTAGGTCAGCCAGGATCTGTGTGACTTGAGACCATGTATCACATCTTCATTCTGCATCCAACAACATCCAGAGAGGAATGATGGAACTTGGACTTTGTTGGTCCAAGCTGTACTTATGTAACAAGACAGGCCATTGGTGAGTAAAGAGAAAGGGTAAAGCAAACTGTAAGACAACAAAAAAGAGAGGCAATACTGCTGAAGCTTTGGGGCAATGCTTTACTTCAAAATGTAGCAGGTGAAGGCAGAACGTTGACCTCAGTGTGGGCATGGAAATGTTACTATTCTCTGGTTAGAGAGAAAGACAGTGAAGATGAACTACAGAAGGAAATACTGGTTCTGCTTTCAGAAGGAAGGCACCTTTATAACCCTGAGTATACTAGGGAGCAGAAGCTATTGCAGAAATAACAGTACAATGTAATTTTAAAAACATGATGTCAGAGCTTCAACAATAATAATGTTAACAAGGATTTGTACCAATTTTTTAAGAAGGCAGATCAAAAGTTTGGAAATGCCCAAGTGTCCTTCTTGATGCCCTGTTTACCCATTCAGTCCAAAATGCAAAACTTAACTCTGCTGCAGCCCCTGAATCACAGTGTTAGAAAGCCAGTCACTTCGTATTTCAGTGTGCGCTGCAGGACCTGATCAGTTCTACAAGTTGTCTGTGGTTTTTATTTTTATTTACAAATAAGAAGGCAGACAGCAACAGCAACAGCTATTTTTCCTAGCAGAGAAACTGAACATTATATAAATGTTTTTGGTCAAGTCACATAATAATAATGTTTTCCAGATGAATATATCTATTTTTAGGGACACTAATGAATCTTTATTATTTGCTTCCCTATAGAATTTCTTATGATCCCACGAGATACCCTAAATACATTCCTGAAGCATACTGTCTGTGCAAGGGCTGCCTCATGGGGATCTTTGGTGAGGAGAGTTTCCACTTCCGCAGCACCCCTGTGTACATGCCGACAGTGATCCTCCGCCGCACCTCCTCCTGCGCAGGGGGCCGCTATGTCTACACAGAGGATTATGTCACTATCCCAGTGGGCTGCACCTGTGTACCTGAGCAAGAGAAAGAGGCTGAAAGCGTAAATTCCAGCATAGACAAGCAAGAAATGAAGTTGCTGGTAAGCCAGAACAAGCCGTCATCAGAATGAAGAATATATAAAGTGTCACATTGCAGTAGTGGCTTCATATCATTTCACCACGTCAGGAAACTGCACCACAGCAGCAAACACACTGACTTACATTCTTTTTCTACTTACAGTTATAAGATGGAAAGTTTTGTCCAGTCACATCATTAGAGATGACAATTCATGTTAAGAACTTCTTTAGTTCATGTAAGTATTTGTTGCAAATTTCAAAGTTTTTTGGTTTTTCTTAGAGCAGAACACTTTCACTTTATCCTTGCTTATTCACAGTATGTTTTAGAATATGATGCAGCAGTAAGACACATTTGCTATTACTTTAGCAGACTACTGGTTGTACATATTTTTAAGGAGTCTCTTATACTTTACTTCTGAATACTCTTATATGAAGATCATATAGCTGCCATACACATGCCAGTTCAGGAAGTAAAAGGGTATTTTTCATGCTGGGAGAGCCTCCCTTTATGTTGCATATCTCAACTCCAAGCAGTGTTCTTGGCTGTTACATCCTTGGCTGTTTATACCCTACAGCAAGGAAACCTTTGCTGATTTTTAGCCATTCATGAAACAATATTCTATCAGTTTGCTATTTCTAAACTTGCCAAATTTCTAAGGGTATTAAAGCATTGAGAAAAAGCATGCTAGAATCTTGGAAAACTGCAGTGGACTTTTTGGATGTGGACTAAGTCTCATTACACAGAAAACATTAATTGGAAAAAACACAGTTTGGGTCCCAAAGACTCTGTATTAGATTTTATTAATCATTAACTGCCTGTTTCTTGTGACAGAACTGTATTCTGAACCCAGGACAACAGTTGAAAAGCCAAAACCTGTTTCCTGTTAGGAGATTCCCTATTAAAAAAAAAAAACAAGTTAGAAGGATCAGGCTTCATTGCAGGTCCACTGCAGATGAGTGAACAGCCTAGGTCTGGACTTTGAATGCTACAGAAGTCATTGAGGTAACTCCCAGCCAATCCAAACTCATATCCAAGTGATTGATACAATGAGCGTTGCTCAGTTTTCTTTATGCTACACATAATAGACAGTTGCCTGCAAATGATGCTAGTCCTGCAGAAGAGCAGTCATCTATCCTTGCAGCTTGTAGGAACTTGATGGCTAGCCCTAAACAGAGCCCCTAAATACAAAAAAACTTGCATTTCCAGATCAAGAGACTGAAAGTTGGCTCAGTCTAGTGCTTGAGGATCAGGAGTAACCAGGCATACCTTGCACAAACAGAACTCCTCAGAGGGCCATATTTGTCAAAGTTGATAAATCTCAGAATACACAGCAGAGAATGTCTTTTACAGCTGAAGGATCATGACTGCAATACCATTACAAAAACCAACAAACACCATATGCAGCAATGTATCTGCTACATCAAGAATCTCAAAATTGGGCTTAATGCATTGCAGCTAAAGTCCCTACACAAACACAAACTCCTTTGGAATGTCATTGGATGAAGAATGGAAAGACTAAGAGCTAACCAGAATTAGCAAGTTATATAGAGAATGAAAATCATATGATAACTCCTTGTCTTGGTGCCTTATTATTGACTCTGCTTTTTATGACTCAGTCTAGTACAACAGTATTTTTACAGTGCAATCTGTATAGCTTCTTACAAAGCCTAAAACAACTTTAACTCCAGAATCCAATAAAAGATTCCCATCACAATGTCAGATTGAAGTTTATAACTGCGTTTCTTCTGCAAATGCTTTTCCACAATTCTCCTTGTCATTAGATCTGTGTTTCCTCAAATTGTGATGCTTCTATCTCAAGGGTCTCCTCAAAGGAGAGTTCAAAGAAGGTCATAAAGTGTTTATACTGCTCAGAGAACAGCTAATTGCCTAGCTGCTGCCAGGAGTGGTAGGTAGTTACCTGGTCTCTGGAGAATGTAAATACTTGCAGCAATTACATCCACTTTTCCTTCCTCCTAATGTGGAAGAGCTTCTCACCCTCTGAAGAGAGGAAAATGGTAATCAAAGACAGAGGGGCTGAGAAGTGAAATAGACGCACAAACCTGGAGGAACACTGCAAGAGATGATGCTTGCTTAGGCAGTCTGACTTTAGGGGTTCATTATTGCGGGTTTTTTCTACACACACTTCAGACAGGATAAAGTTGGACTTTCAGACTCCACAGCATAGAAAGCAAAGTCTTCACAGTAAAAAAAAAACCAAACAACAACAAAAAAAGTCAGGGCACACAGCCCTTAACCTGTAGTAAATACGCAGAAGGGCTACCAGCTACAGCTCTGGATAAACACTGTCCTCCAGCAAAATGCATCCCTCTGCCCACACACTTACCTTATACAAATTTGTCTGCAATATATGAGTTGCCAGAGCACATGGACTCATTTGCATGATATGAAGAAAAAGAATCTTTCTGTGGCAACTCCTGTCCTTCAGGCATAAATTATGGAATCATTTTGAGGTTTCCCAAGTAACAAGAGCATGTTCTGGGAATTCGTGGGAGCTGCAGGCTAAGATCAGGTAAATGGAACATAATTGGTCTTGCCAATCCAGAAAAACAGATGCTTTAGTTTACATATAACTTCAGGAATTGGATGACTGAAAGGAAAGTACTAGAGAACTACAAAACCTCAGTGGATCAATAGATTATGTTGGCGACCTCCTTCTCGTCATACTGCAACAAGTGCAGAAAGCTTCCTGTGGTTACAAGCAACCTCATGTTATCTTACTTAGAAGCCCATTTTCCTTTTTTAATCCTTGCTCTTGTCTGTGGCAGACTCTTTAGCTGAGCTAATTTGCTTCCAGCTTTCCAGTTAGGTGTCTGTTGAAGCCTGTGTTTGTGTTCTAGCCTGAGCAACTGTTTGATAAAAATTTGTTGGTGAACAACTGTTCGTTAATACTTAACATCAAGAACTATTAGCTACACAAACATTTGTTAACCTTCAAAATACCCCTCCATATATAAACCCTTTCTACATTACTCATGTGGAAAACGTTGAGTATCAAATGTAGTTTGCTTTTGTTTGGATTTTTTTTTTAAAGAGATCATCACATCATGGATTTATATCAGTTTCACTTCAACTGTGGTGTGACATTTCCCAGCTTCTAGTCCTCTGGTTACAGCTGCTGCAGCCTTGCCTTTAATTTGCATGGGGGGAGGGAGGGTTCACTGGAGTTGCTTCAAGGCTTCACAAACTGTTGACAGAAGGCAGACATGAAATGCCTCATTGAACCAACTCCAGGCCCAATAAATGCAAACAATTCAAAGCTGAAACTATCTGGCAGCTGCAGCTGATTTCAGAAATTTTTTGTTGTGCCAGGAAAATCTTTTCCTTCAATGAGGTTGTCACTGGAATACATTAGGAGACACAAAATACAGAACAATATGCTTGCTATTTTCTTCTCTGTAGTATCACTTAAGGTAGGTTGGAAAATTCCTGTTATTTAGGAAGGCTGAGAAAAGACTGAGATGTTAGTTTTGGTTTACCAGACAGTCATTATGTGAAGGTGTTTGTCTGAACAGGGAGACATCTACAGCTGCAAGTAAACAAGAAATTGCATGGAGGAATATTAAAACAGGGAAGAAGGGAACACGGCTGTGGTGTGCTCAGAAAGTATGAACACCCATTAATCTCACTGGGATTAGGAAACAGCCACAACTACCTGGACTAGGGCACAAGAGGGAGATCTAGTTAATCCTATGTGTTTTGCTGAGTTGTGGCATGAGATACCACTTGGTTTTGCTGTGCTTCTGTCTGAGGGGGCTGCAGACCATAAGCAGACCCAGAGCAGCAGCAGAGCTCTGACACTGCTGAGGAGAGACTTCTGCAACCTAAACCCCAAACCCACTGGACCTGTTTCCCACCTGCCTGCATGGCACTGGGTATGCACCATGTAGGGAACCAGTGTGGAGTGACAAGATCAACCATCAGAGATACCTCCCACTGGTACAGGGGGGTATGGACAGAGCAGTGAGGACAGTTGTGCAGTACAGAGATCGGCTAACTGTGCACTTTGGAGGTGAGAGGCTGAGAGCAACACTATTCCTGTCAGGAAGCACAGATCAGACATCAGTGTAAGCAGTACCTTGGACTTCATGCAATAGCAGCTCTAGAAATGCTTCAGTTGTCATCTGGGGTGGGGTGCAGGCAGCTGCAGTACATCCTCTTCCACCATCAAGATGTCCTGCTGCTGCATGATGCCCATTACTGCAGCCATGCAACTCTGCAGTCATAAATGCCAGTGGAAAAGCAGCACCGTGGTAACACTTCCCCACAGCCTGTTCCAATAGAAGGTACATCCATAAGACACCCACAACAAAGCGAGCCAAGCATTAGTTGATACTGAAGGTTTGTTTTCATTCTTCTATTACAGAAGAGAAGATTCTGCTGTCACGTATTTCTTAAAAGTTACTGCAGTGGCGTAAAGTACAAACTCACTATGCATTTGTGTGACTTGCAGGCTTCTCAGAAACACAGCTACTTCCTTGGAAACAAGCATGGTAAAACCACTTTACCTCCTATCACTGATGAAGGCTGTGAATGGCACCACTCAAGCTGTGCTTGGGCAGCTGCCGGCACTCACAAGGCTGTTTAAGCAGGAGGCCGGTGAACAGCAGCCTCCTCTGTTGAGCACATCTACAGTTTTACATGTACCCTCATTTTCAGAACTGTGCATCTTCACAGTGCCTCTTTTCAAAACTGTCTGACCTACATGTGAGAAGCAGCAGTTACTTGCTTGGTAAACTGAAATTCTTGGTCTAACTGAACGGTGTACTTTTCATTTGTTTAAGAAGGGTCTCTGATGCAGTTAGCAAAGCTGTCTTGCAATTCTGATACAGGGCCTAATACACATTTACCAAAATGAAGCAATTGAAGCAATTAAAGCAGCAACATAAGCGAAGCTTGTATTTGAACAGCACATTCTAATTTAGGTGTGTGGCAGAGGAAGAGTATCGTCCCTTCTGACAGTCATACCTGTTCCTCTTGAAGTCCCTGCATATAGTTAAAAATATAGTTTCAGTAGTTCCTTCATTGTCTCCATCTGCTTGGTGTGCAAGACATTGAGGTAATAAACATAAAACAGTTTATGACTGTGAAGGATAGATTTGTGCCAATAGCTATGCATTTAATTCTGGTTTGCTTTATTTTGAAGCTGCCTAAGTAAAAGTAATGGTGTAGCCTCCTGGAAAACACCTAAACCCAGCTGTACATCACCTGTGGACAGTCATTTGGGGGGAGTGTTCTGGCTTCATCTGGCTCAGCAACAAGGCTGGCTGCTGGTCTGAAAAGTATCAGATATGGGCTCTCAGAGACTTGTCAGCAGAGCCTGGTCTTCATTCTCCCTGACAGCTCTCCCTCTACAGCACCTTTCCCATTTTAACAATACCTATCACTAGTCTGATAGATACGAAGGCACATGAAAGAGAAAGAAAACTGGTATGATGAAACTCAGGAACATTGTATGGGGGAAAGAGGGCAGGAAGCATCAGGTATAAAATGTGAGGAGGGGAAAAGCCTTAGGAAGTAAACATCTCATAGAAAATGGGGAAGAGCAGTGGTGGGTTGGATGGGTATTTATAAAACAGTGTTGTCTCCAGCTCAGAAAGCATGATTCTCTGAGCACTGACAGAGGATTATATCCCATCTATGTTATTCCTGCTCATTTATTTACTCCATCAGACAGGAAAATCTGCATTCAAACAGCAGAAAAGCACAGAAACATGAGTATATACTTCTGCCTTCTTAAAAGTCTTGTCTCACATGCTTAATTAGGTTTATTCCCACCACAAAGTAAATTTCTTAATACTTCATTTTACGTGATTTATTTTGTAGATGCAGCATTTCTGTAGTCTTTTACATAATCCCAACAGATACCTATGATATACAAGTACATATGTTTTATATAGTATATTTATAGCTGATAAAACTGTTGAGAGCCTTGGAATTTATGAACCAGCTTTCACCCAAAAATACATTAGAAGTGTAGTCAATAGGATAGCCAAAACTGGCTTTAAAAATTCCCAGTTACCAAAAATCTCTACTGTCCCAAAGCAGGGTTTTTCCAAGTATCATCTATTTTGACTGACATACAGCCCAAACCTTGGGCAATATAAAATTTAACATTTATTAGAAAGAGTGTGAGTTTATCAATACACTGTTATACCTCAGTGGCCTTGTATGATTCAGCAATTCCCAAGATGCTCCTATACTACTGCTCTGCAGCCATCTGTGGAACAGGAGGCAAAGATAAAACTGAGCAATTGGAAAAAAGGCCTGTTCTTGTAACTACAAACTTGACATACTTGTAAATCATCTTAGCTTGATATTGAAATCCACTAAAAAGCAGGCACTGTATTTAATCAGATTACGATTCAAGATTTAAGGGACTAGTGTATATGGGTCACATTGCTACAGAAGTATCTCATAACCAACAGTAACTCAAAGGAAGAATCAAGGAACACACAGCCTGAAGCACTAACGCAAGGACTGGCTCATGTGTTGTATTTTTATTTAGCAATTAGTTCATATTCCAGTTGATTTGGCCTGACTAATGTATAGGATTCTTAACGCCAGTAAAGCTCTCTCTAATGGGGAAATCCTTACTGTGCTTTTTTCAAGGAGACATTTGGTTTATACCACCTCAGGAGATAAGCTTAACTAGTCAATAGAACAACCCAGTTGTGTGAGGGTTTTTAAAGTTTAAAAGACTTTGTGTTGCACTAACACATAAACAACACAAAATAAATGCACTGTACTTCTGCAAGGAGATGTGTAACGACTTAGTACAGCATGCATACGTACACGAGTTTGTATGGTGTAAGTGATGACAAAATAGATCTTTTCACAAAAAGAAAGTCTGGGTTTGTGACAAAGCAAGGTGAAATAATAATCACAATATTTTAAAAAGCCAATCTGGCAACAATAGCGAGAGAGTAATTCTTATCTTACTTGGCAACTTACTTACTAGTAAGTAGTAAGTACTTGGTAGTTCTGATGATTATTAAGAGCAACTGGAGCGGCCTCTCCAGAAGGAGACCTATTTTCTCTTCCAGTTATCCTTTATAAAAACATCAGCCTGCTGGCTAATGAATCTGAAAACATATGACACATTCAGAACAAACATCTCTCAAGCCTTTTACTCAGGGAGCATCTCTCAAGATTGAAAGGAGACCACTGGTCATGCTTTTTCAACCATCCACTAGCTAGGAAGTCATCAGTTCTGATGCAGTGATGATTCTGGTGTCTGTGAGGCAAGCACCTGTGTGTTGTTATACACCAACCAGCTAAAATCACTTTGCAGGGGTCACTGAAGAGTCCTTGAATGGTAAAACCTGACAGTTTGAATGAACCTCTAACAGAGAAGCTTCCATTGTCTAGCACCTGAGCTGTTTGGTCCCCATTTACCAAAAATGTACAATACAAAACACATTTAAAAGAGAGAGGCTATCATGATTAGAGCTGGCCCAGAAAACAGTACTTGGAGCTGAGTATTTCAGCACTGAGAAATATGGAGTCACTGCTAAAAAACAGAAAGGAGCATGACTGAGAAATCTGTAGACCTTCTCAGGAGGCTCACTTCAGCCCAGAAGCATAATTCACGTAACACCGAAATTCATTGGCTAAATTTCGTGCGTGTTTTGGAATAAACTTGCAAATCTTCACACCAAGATTCTTTGCTGCCTGTTCCTCCATGACTGCACCTGCAGCAAAAATAATTAGCATTTGATGAGAAAAACAGTAACAGAATGTCTGGGTATTTTAATAGCTCCTCCCAAATGCATATAAAGCAAGCCTGCTTTTTTTAAGGAAGCAAGGCTTAAAGCAGCTCTACTGTCAGCCCTCTTTGACAACTGAATCTATTTCGAAATGAGAATAAATCTGAAAGAATGGAAGATGCCCCAAGGAAATGAATGTAAATGAAGTTTCATGGAAGTAGGTAGAGGGTAAGCTCTGTATAGAAAACAGAGATGAACTCCATCTTCTTGCTACATGCCAAACAAATTACATGGTAGGGAGGCATGGGAAAGGCAAACAGATTACATATACTCTTCCACTTAAATAAACGCAATGCGGTATTTACAGCTACACACTGAGAAATCACTTCCTTGAGCAGCATTTCTCAAACTCTGTAAACTTAAGGACCACCTACCCATTTTAGGGAAGAAATTCTGAGAACCATCCTTGTGCGTGATTGCCATGTGCAATTAAGCAAAGGTTTTCCGTGACCACATTCTTCTTCATTTCAGCTGCTTGGTTGACTTCCCTCACATTATATTTATAGAGGGGTTTTGTCCTTCTTTTCTTTTTTTTTTTTGCAAAAGTTTCCCAGATGTCTTGTAGTAAGATTACAGTTTAAGCTTAAACACCATGGGTAAAGCAGATATAGCAAATGCACCTCCATAAAGAAGGCCCTACAAGTACAGCTGGTAAATTACCTAGTTTCACTGCACTTATCACTGGTTTTCAATTCCTCCTGCTGTATTTCAGTGCCCAGAATCTCCTTGCTTGAATCACAGTGGCAGAATCTCCCTCACACATTCATTCACATTACAACTCCTGTGCTTACCAGTACGGACAGGTAATGTGGAGTGGGGGCAAGTTTACTTTGCTTTTCTTTTCAAGACTTTGCTAAAATCATCCCACTTTACTCAGCAAAGGCCATTCCAACCTCTTTGTCATTCTTTCTACTTAGATGACCTTAGACGCTAAGTACTACATGGCAGCTGAAGTCCTGTAGCTACTGACATGTTTAAAAACTCACAAATTCTTATTCAGTAAGACATTAACAGTAAGTTGCACCTGTCTTTGTCATACCCAGATTATAGAGAGTGGTCTTTTACAAGAAAAAAATACTTCTGGAGATCTAGAGGATGATCTTACAATTCTTCAAAGATTTAGTAGAACTCAAAATGCTGTATGAAGAAAGCACTGACTTCAACTCTTAAAAAACACATACCTGCAGTTCAAAATAAAGGTTGAACTAAAGTATTCCAATGAAAAGCTTAGGATACATATTCCTCTTTGAAGTAATGATAAATTAGTGTTACTGAGTTAGTATTTTTCACACCTAAGAAAGTTTCATCTTCTGAGAGAGAGGAAAAGATGCTTAATGGTGACATTTTTATTAACCATACCTGTGCAAAGTAGAATCTTTCCTTTTGTTAAATATTTGATGGTCTCTGCAGTTTTTTGAAGACATTCCTCAGACAGATAGGGTGGATCTGCTATAACAATGTCAAAACTGTGTGGCAAGAGATTTTCAGGTAAGTTCAAAGGGTGGTTGTAATCATAGAAGATAAATTCTTCTCCATATACAGAAAACCTTCTGTCGTACTCCAGTATACAGACTGAAAAATCTTTACCATCCTGTTCTTTCAGTTTCTGGTATACACTGGGTGCACTAACACATGCTATCCTGAAAAAGAGACAACAACTGAGAATATTCTTTTAAAAGGCAAACAACAGCAAAAAAAACCAAAACATCCTACAGCAGTCCTCAGGGCTGCTTTGGGAAAACATTTTAAATATTAGTCCCAGAATGTAAGCTATACATCCTCCACTCTAACGAATAATTAATTTAATAGTAGAGTTTTAAGCATTAAAGCCATTTATTCAGCATCCATGCTGCATCACTTAAGCTTAACTACAGAGAAAATCTTGTTTCAGAACAGCAAGGAAATATACTTGAAAACTTAAACCCAACTCCTTACAGAAATAGGAAGAAAACCAAGTTTCTCCACCTGTTCTGCAGAAACATTGTATGAAAACAGAAAAGAATTACTAATCATTGATATGCTCTGGAGCTCTCTCAAAAAAGAAAACATTCACAGTAAACTTGTACAAGGCAGAGCCTACAACATTCGATGAAATGCTAAAAGATAAGATCAGGATGAACTATTATTTATACAAATAATAGCAAAGCATTTGTGCAATATCTCAACTGAAGAAAGATGAAGTACAATGAGTAATGAATTACACTGCATGCTCTGCCTACAGAGTGGAAACAAAGTATTTACAGAAAAGACATGTTGAATCTCTGATGTAATTATTGAAACCTACCTGCCACCCTTCCCAGCTGCCACAACTGCTTCATCAGCCAGGCGTGATGCGGTTTCATCACTGTACCAAAACTGGCTCAGTTGCTGGAACACACAATTACAAATAATCTTTGGACTGTGCTATGTACTGTTAGGTGTGGTGAGTTGCATTTGAAGAAAAACAAAATCCACAACAACTTCTCAGTTCACCAATTGTTAAGCTGGAAAAGTGAGTATTTTCCTGACAGTCTTTTTACCTCTGTAATCCAGGGACACGCAGCAGGTAGCTTACACAGTGTGTTTCCAAAGCATTTACTGCGGTATCAGGAAAACCAAGTAATGCAAGATCACTGATTACTGGGTTAGTTCAAACCCACTTTGCAGATGCACAGTATTTATGTGTTCTTAAATTTTTAGTGGAAGAGGAAAAAGGAACTTGAAAAGTGACAGTACAGAAGGAAATAAAGGGTAAAAGTAATGAATCAGAAGAGATCAGAAAAAGGATGAGTAAAAAAAAACAAACCCAAAGAAAACAGAGGCAAACCAAAAATCAGTCTGTCAGAAAAAAATCAGAAAAAATAAAAGCAGCAAAGCAACCATCCACAAAAGCAAAGGCATAAACCACAGAATGCAGTACAATGTGAAAGAAAGATCACTTGATCTTGTTACTTGCTGCTTGTCTCAGACTCTGAGACTCTGAGAAGAATCTTTTCTACCTTCACATAGCAGGCTGGAATTAAAATCTCCAGAAGGGATAGATGTTTCTGTTAGCGGCTTTATTCCCTCTCCATGTTGTACCCCTTTCCCTGCCCCCACCCCATGTAGGACAGACAAATATATCCAGATTTAACATTAAAGCAAATATCCCTAGAGTGTTGCTGTCCATGAACAGTTTGATTTTGCTACTCTAAGAACACCTTTTAGTGTTCCCTTTTTAAATTTCATTTCATTATCCAGCCACAAAAAAGCTCAGTAAAGGCTACTCCTTCATGCACTGAAGTTCATAGTTTCTTACCCAGTCTTCTTCTATTGAGCCAATGGAATATTGATTAAACCCTTGGGAGGTCTTCATGCCCTCTCTCTGCTGCTGTTCCAAATAGAACTCCTGGAGGGCGGCCAATGTATGGGATGAAAGCTGGGGAATGTCATCACCATCATCATCCATTTTTCTAGACGCCAACTAGAGAAAAAAATTTAATTAAATTAACCCTTTTCAGTGGTGAACACTTTAATAATGGCACAGTCCCCTGTACAACGACCTTCACTGACAATACAGACTCAGGCTAACAGCTACCGAGGAGAAACTCTGGACAAGAGAAGACACATTCACTTTACTTATGAGATCTTAAACAAGTGAGAGGATGATTAGAAATAACACATCTCCAGAGAGAATTCAGGAACAGCGGCAATATTGTTCCCTTTCTATACAACACAGATTTGGCTTGTATTCTTGGAGGGAAGTTGTCATTGCAGTTCTTAATTTCCTGAATCTGGACAACTTTTCTGTATCGGGGGGGGGGGGGGGGGGGGGGGAATGTGGGGGTGGGGGCAAAAAGCTTCAGTGGATCTGGCAAATCATATAGAAACTGTTCCCTCCCATAAATAATGATAGATACTGGTCATTCCTTTCCATGCTCAAAAGTCACACAATTCTGACTCAAAATGAAGAAACCTGGCTTTAACTTCTATGCCATAAAAAGATTTGTCTGAATGCCAGAAACCTTCTTACAAGCAAAAGCAGGCAAGAAACTTAAGATGTTTTCCTTAGACAACGCTATTTGACCAAACTTGTGTATTTTGTGTGTGAGAACATGGGGATAACTCGTATCAAAAAGACACGGTATTTACTACCATGAAAGTACAGCCCCATTGCATACACAGTGCACACAGAAGTACAGCACAGAGACCTCTTGTGCTGGGATACACCGCAAAAGGTCACTTCACCCTGCTCACCCGGACTGCTGAACAGCATCCGGGGGAAAGCTGTGGGTCCTTTCCAGAAGAGACAGTGCCACCGCGTGGAGCGAAGGTGATGAAAACAGGAAACTTGCATGGGAAAACTACTAGAGAAAACTGGAAAAGATGCTTCTCTCAAGAAACCCATTTTCTCTGCTTCTGATCTAAGAACTAGTAAGTCCACGAGCAATGACTTTAACAGAACCTGGAACCAGGCAGACGCCTGCCTTTGTGCAGAAGTCACTGGGAGAATCACATGCCATCTGAACTGTGTGCAACTTCAGAAGCCAACTATGACTTCAAGTACAGCTGCTCAGAGTTTTTCTTCTCCCATTCCCTGTATAACAAGAACTCCAGAATCCACAACCTCCTCCCTTCCCACCCTTCCCTCTGTGCTGCTCACCCTAGCACAGCTTTCAAGACTTTTCCTGAAACACAGGTGTTCCCTACTTGTTGGAAAAATGGTACCATCAACCTGTTAGATAACCCACCAGAATTCACTGATTATTGTGCTGTTCCACTGACACAGTACACACCTACACGTGTTAAGAGTAAAGCTCTTGGCTTTTCCAGAGTATCATTTATCTTCCATGAAGACAGGCTTAGGGAGTTGGGCTTGTTGATCCCAGAGAAGAGAAGGCTCCAGGGAGACCTTAGTACCTAAAGGGGCCCACAAGAAAGCTGCAGAAGGACTTCTGCAAGGACATGCACAAATAGGACAAAGGTAATGGCTTAAAACTGAAAGAAGGTAGATTTAAATTAGATATAAGGAAGAAATTCTTTACTATGAGGGTGGTGAGGCACTGGCACAGGTTTCCCAGAGAAGCTGTGGCTGCCCCATCCCTGGCAGTGTTCAAGGCCAAGATGGATAGAGCTTTGAGCAACCTGGTCAAGTGGAAAGTGTCCCTGCCTGTAGCAGTGGGGTTGGAACTGGATGAGCTTTAAGGTCTCTTGCAACCCAAACCATTCTATGATTCTATGACTTGCTAGTCAACCTTAAAACAAGGGAGGTACTGCGCTCTGCTCAAGCTTCAGCTCCTGAATGCTTACATGGATCCAAATCCCTCATCTCCAGACGATTGGAGGGGTGACAAAACTAATCCACACAGAGGTGTGGGGGAGTCCGTCCCAACCATAGTAAAAGAATAGACAGAGAAAGGATCTTTCCTACTGGAAACAAGTTTTCAGATCTTTAAATCCTAAGGAGAGTTGATTGTCTGACAAGATACTGGGATTATTGCCGAATGCACTTTCACAGGAATGACTGATAGGACAAGGTGTATGAAATACATTAGTCTAAAGTAATTTAGACACCTACATCTGGTTTGTAGAATCTTCCAATGCAAATCAAAACTTCTCAAACATCCAAGAGGTCATCCTCAAGTACAGGCAGCATCAGCAGCTTGTTCCCTGGCAGTCAACTGGGAAAACCTAAACAAATTCAAGTTTTGAGGCCCAGGTGCCATAAACCAGAATGGCCTCTGAGCATGACAGCCAAGCCAGGGAATGTCAGAAAAGCAGAACTGACAAAACCTGCACACTAACCTGAAGCTGTTTTCTTACGTACCCATGGTTTTGTGGAGTAGGGAAACAGGGACAAGGCAGGATTTGTGGACCAGGACCAGCTTGACCACAGATCTGAGAACAGCTCCATTTCAGGATTAAGTCTGGAGAACTTTCTGTTAACATCCATGGCAAATGGTTCAAGAAGAAAGCTGTACTAGTTCAGAGAAAGGGTTGATGCTGGTCATTCTTCTACCCTGAAGCATTGATACTGCTTCCTACCCTGAATTATTTTAATTAATATCGTATCCTGAAGGCAGCCAAAAGCTGCTGTCCTGGAAGGAATAAGATTAGGCAAGTATATGTGATACCTCCCTCCTCTATCCTCTAACAGACTTTAACCATTTTCCACTATGGGAGTTGTTTCTGCACTTGAAGTGATTCTGTGAATGCAGTTCTCTTAGAGACACCTGTCCGGTATCCCTTAAATTCACGTGAAGTTTTTAAACCTAGAATGTCAGCTGGTAAGAAGTTTGGGTTTATGAATAGTTACCTTTTGTTGCTGTGAAAATGGCTACTAACTTCATGCAAATACTTTGTGTATCAGAAAACAAAAGGTTGAGCTCTTAGACACTCTCTCCACACCACTCTGTGTCATTTCACAGACAGCTGTAGGTCTAGGTGTTGCTGAGCTACAAGGATCTCTGTCAGTGATGAGATTTCATGGTGCTTCAAAGTGACACAGAAGCGTTTGCAGACGAGAGTCTTTCAGAGGATTAATGAATGCACAGAACTGCACTGGAATAAAAAAAATAAAGTCTGGAGGCTAGTGGTTACTTGAAGGAGAAGAGGAGCATGATGTGCTCTCCTTTCCAATAAGCACGGGCAGAGGAGAGTAAGCTGGTACTCGACCGCTGTTACCTCTGGCATATGAATGAGGGAACGCTGTCGGCTTCTGAAAAATGCTCCTTCTTCCTGCTCCCTCTTGTGTTTAACTGCTTTGAACACCCACTGCCGGCACCTGCCGCTCGCGCTCTCCTGCTATGCAGGCTCCGCTCCGCGCCAGGCGCACCCACCGCCCCCACCCCAGCGCGGCTGGAGGGGAGCGGAGCGGAGCAGAGCGCAGCCGGTCGGCATGAGGCCCAACGCCGCTGAGGGATCCGCTCCCGCCTCAACGCTCCCGCCGCAGCTGGGCTGCCCGGCCGCAGACGCCACCCGCCCGCCCTGAGAGGGCGGACAGCCGGGCGGACTTACGCGCGACCCTGCGGATCCCCCGCACTGCTGACACAGAGCCCGCCTCTCTCCCCACTCACCGGCCGCCAGCCACCTCCGCGCACGCGGGCCTCTCCCAGCCAGCCCCGGCGCCGCGCGCCCCCTGCTGGTGACACGGGGCAGGGCGGGGCCGGGGATTCCGGCGGTGGCTCCGCCTTTGCCGCAGGCGGGGCCGTGCAGGCGCGTTCCTAACCCGCGGTGCCGCTGGCCGCCGGTAGTGGGGAGCCCGGGCAGAGATGGATCCGTGCGGGCCTCCCCCCGCTGCAGCAGCCCCACCGGTCCCTTGCGGCCTATGGCGGATGTCCGCCTGCCCGGGCTTAGCCGCTGGAGCGTGTTGCCGGCGGGAACCCGCCGTTTCGCTGTGCCTTCACCACTGCGGTGGTTCGGGTTGTGTAGAGCGACCCCCAGAACGGTTTTTCAGCGTAAATAAGAGCTTCCTAAAGCAGGCCGTCTGCGCAGAGAGCAGGCGCCGCGCTCCCTCGGCCGGGTCGTGCCCCGGGATTTGGAGTAGGTACTTCAGCAGATACGGAAACTGTGGGTAGGGTATACCTCCAGTCTGGCATCCATCGGTCGCCAGCTACGTTAGACTTGGAAATCACGGATATATCTCCGGTTAGATGCCCAATGTTTAAAAGCCATGAGCTGCTGATTTCAGTGCAAGGAGGCACAAAAGTACAAAATGTAATCAGTTCTAAGTAATGTTGTTTGATGGCTTTGTAATGGAAAATAACTGCGGTGCTTGAAGGTAGTTGACATAGTTTCAGGACCTCAGTACAAAAGGTGTGAGAAAAGCAGAATAGAAGGACAGGACCTGGGGATGGGGAGTATCTGGGACTAGCAGATGTCCAGGGTGGGCACAGATAAACTAACTGATAAGTAAAAGGACAGGATGATTGCTATGTTTGGGGTGTAATAAACCCATTAAGCTGCTGTAAGCATCTACTAGGGAGTATCCCAGACTAGCAGATGTCCAGGATGAGAGCAGTTAAACTAACTGATAAGTAGGAGGCCAGGATGATCTATGTCTGTAATGTTAATGAAGCTTGTTGGGAAAAGTAAAGGACCCTTAAAGACCACCACATTTTTGTATGCATGCCGGAAACTTTTTGGAAAATGATGTAACATGCTCAGTGACCATATAAGGATGACCTGTATAGCAATTCGGGGACACACGTTAGGAGGAGCTATCCCCCGTGTCTCCCGGCGCCGCAATAAAGAATACCTGCTTGTCAACTTGAAACTCTGTTGGCGAGTTTGTTCCTGGAGTTTTCTCCGAATCAGGGTGTACAACTGATCTCAGTTTCTCATACTGTGCAGACACAACACACTTGTCTGGCATTCTGTATCATCTGTTGCTCCAAAACCTCAAGAACTTCCTGTTTTTGTCATTCCTCCTTTATAAAGCCTGGTAAAAAGCATTTTCATAACATCATCTTTTCATGGTTCGGTTACTCTTTTATAAACCAACTCATCAAAGGCTGCCCATTGGGTTATTTAACCCAACAGCAGACTCCCGTGTCATGTTTTCCAGTTCCCTCAGCAGCAAGTTGAACAAGAAACTGCTATTTTACCTACAATCTGTTGAATCTTGATCTGTTGCAATACTTGCAAAGTCCTAGGCTCAGCACTAGGAGCCTACAGCGAGAGAGAACTATTTCCTTGGAAGGCAGAAACACAAAATTCTGGTAACACATATTTGCAGCACAGCTTCTGTAGGCAGCAGAGAATCAAATTTTCTTGCTACTGCAGGATGTGGGGATAGGCCCGTTTTTCCTTCAGATCCCCATACATTTTACCTCTCTCTCCCCTAAAGAAACAGGGGTTTGCTTGCATGACAGTGGAGAACTGTGGGCATTTCCTTCTGGTTTTAAAAGACTTCCAAGTAGTCTGAATCAGGCATTCAGCCCCCCTTTGTCTTCAAACGGTCTTGCCAAAAGTTGTCTTATGTGGAGCACACCCCTATCCATTCATGTTACCACCACTGCTGCAGGTTAAAACAACCAACCCTTTTTACCTGTGTGGCTGCAGAGTGACAGTTATCTGACACCTGCATATTAGTGAGTGCAGTAAGAAATCTGGTTTAGATTCTACAAAGTGACATTTCAGTCTGTTTCATGCCTTTTGTAAAGCTTTTGACATGAAAAAATGTTCTGCACAGGGCTGACAACGTAAGGATGAAGGAGACTGGGGAGACACAGTGCAAGTCCAAACTTCCCAGAGTAACAACAGCCTCCTCACAAGAGGGTTACAGAGGTCATGTAACGGCACATGGCTGCACGGAGGCTTGGCCAACATTGCTAACCTTATGACACCAGATACTACTTGGCAGCACACAGACAGTTCCAGACCTCGCCTGAATCCATGTCACAAGACAGTTCTAGAAGGAAAGCCCAGGAGGAGCTCAAGTGACCCTGTAGGAAGGAAAACAGGTTATATCTTGCAGTGCAGCTGCTTTGGAATGTGAGGAGAAACGAACCACAGGTACAGGAACACCTGCAAAGTGCAAAGTGCACCCTGCAGGAAATTTATTATTAATTATTAGTTTGTTTCCTTTTTTTATTTTTTTTTTTTTTTACCCGGAAAGGTATTTCTAGTTAAGCTGTCTCCTCTATCCTTTGACTGACAGACCCATGTCACACAGCAGTGACACCGATGTCTCCAAGATGAACCTGACAACACAGACCACTGGCACTTTACCAATATATTTGTTAGTACTCTCTGTCCAACCAGATCAGGAACAGAGCATGGACATAAGAGTTTTAAAAAGCACAGTTCTACCCTGGAAAGCAAGAGCAACTTGTTACTTATAAGGCTTTTATGTTTTGGCGTTTTTTTATTTTACAGTCTTGTATTTTATCTTTCCTAACAAAAGTCTATACTTTTCAGTTCTCCTGCTGTTGCACAAGCCATAGCCATATGAAGTACAATACATTTTAACTAATATGAAAATAGCTTATACTATTGGAATTTAATAATCTGTTGCTATTAAGTATAAAAAAATTCTTAATCTTGACACTTTTAGGGCTGCAAACCAACTACATGCTCATTGGGAAGACAGCCAAGCATGTCTACAACCATCCAAGGATTACTTCTAATTATTATCAACATAACCCTACTTCTGAAGATGGAAAATAATATTAGTAGAAATGATTCTACTTGCAGAACATCTTGCAAGTTGTTCTTACCTCATCTTGGTAAGAGAAGCTTACTGCACTTTCTTCTTTCAATACCGAGCTGTTCTCCTACAGATGCAGGATAAAAAGTGTATTACAGCCCTGTGGGGTAGCTCTGTGGGCCATGTGCATCACAGCTTCCTGAGACCTTGGCTCACACAGGAGGACAGACTATCAGTCAGCCTCTTACATCTTGCAGTCACTCTCTGAATTCAAATACAGTTGTACATTTGCATCCTCCAACGTATTATGGACTCCCAACTCTCTCTATTGCAGATGCGCATCTTCTTAGAAACATGACAGTGAGACATGATCAGAGTGACTTCCTTCTATTTTGCCAGGTCTTCTGGATCCTTGGAAATAATTTAGGGATCACAAAGAGGGCTGCAATCTTCAGACTGAAAAACACTCTACTTAAGTGACCACTAGTCACTTAATACCACCTAGTGGTGCTGACATTTTAAAAACATTAAAAAATAGCAACCCTGAAACAGAATCTTCAGTATCTTACACCTTCATACATTGTAATATCCCCATTGATTTTACTATGCCCTATTGCCCCCGATTTATGCTGTTCTCTCAAAAACTGCCCTAAGATACATGCTGACATCCAAAGTTTATGGAATTTTCTGGCCAGAGCCTACTCATGGTTCGTTTTGCTCCCCCACCCCTCCAAACAGGTAATCACTCTGCCATCACAAGAAGCAGGAAGGAAAATATATAAAATATATTTAGTAAAACCAGTAAAATTAAAGTGGAACAGAAAATGCAGTCAAGTAGCAAACATTATGTACAGCAGCAGATTATACAGTTGTTCCTACACATACCTCTGCACTTATTTCACATACGCTTTTTAAGGAGAAAGAATAGAAATAAGCTAGTGTTAAGAAAGAAAACACTTTTTTTTTCTGAACAGTAAATGGGGTTTATTACTGTTTTTGCCTTTTTTTTTCTTTTGAAACTCCAATTCAGACTATATATACCTCTAAGAAAAATAAGAGAAGGACACCATTTTCTCAGTCCCTAGAGTAGAATTACACTGTCCTTCTTTTACAGACTATACTGGTATCTTAAATAGTTACACTCACAGGATCTAGACACCATCTGGCCATTTTAGGGGATGTAGGTAACAAACATTTTAACCAAGATACAAAACAGGTATCTGATTTTTCCAGCTTTCCTGAGACTGAGTGAATTGTTTAAATACATGTGCGTTTATCAAAAACCATGTTACAGTACATTTTTAACAGTAGTTTAAGAAATCATGAAAGTGCATTAACAGCCTAAAAGCAGGCAAAAAGTACTTCAGAAGAACAGTCTTTCCTTACAGTGGCAGAAGAATGTAAGCCTTCCCCCAAAGCAGTGTTCATCTTGTGTGAAGACATCAGTGATCTTCCTAAAGACTCCACAGTGTGGTGGTGGGGTTTTGGCTTTGGGGTTGTTTTTTCCGAGTTACAACAATCATTTGAATGGACAAAATTCCATTAGAAGTGTCGGTGCAGGTCTAAAATCAAAGCAAATGTCCTGACAACCTATTAAACCAAGTTATGAATGAGGATTTCACATCAAAATTCTGCTGGAGTCTAGCAACAACTTTCATTCAGTAAACAACAGATTGGAAGCAGTCTGAATATGCCACAAACCTAAACTGCATCACCCAAAACAATAAGTTAAAGCAAATCAAACATACACACATCTTCGCCACCACAAACAGGCCAGACATAGAGAGGGGAAGAAAAAAGGAAGTACATCACACCCAAAGCTTTGCCTTACTCTAACTTGCAAAGGGAAGTTTGTCAGAAAAATAAAATCTGATCAACATCTATCTGATATTAAGGTGAAAAGAGTTTCCATAAGATTCAAATATAGGTGGGAGAAAAACTAGTAATGAGTTGTATCTGTGTCAATCAGAGTGGGTAACT